CCCCAAATTTCATTTTGCCATAATTACGAAGGCACATTAGCTAAACGATGCGTCCACAATTTAATTCTCTCTCGGAAGCCACATGTGGCCCCTCCATCCCCTCCTTGAGAAAACGAGTTGGCCGTCATATTAATGAATGGCATGCATACAAACAACCTTTAGAAATGAGGTAATATCACCGGGAGTCATAGAACTTGCACTTGATGTTCAATTTGATGCTAGAACTTTAAAAACATGGATTTGTGGTCACTGAACTTGACATCACATGCAAATACGGTCACAAAATATGCATGCTGATGTATCAGGGTGTATGGCCCCACTTGTCAGTGAGTGATGAGTATGGCTGACTCATTTTTGCACAAAACACCCTCACTTTTTTTATTTGCAGAAAAGGTCGATCACTGTACTCCATATAGGTACGAAAATTAACACAAAAATGGGGAGCCTCGAGTCGAACCCGTGACTGATGTTCACGACAAGCCACTCTAGCCAACCACCCTTCCCTGTTCACACATCAAGCACGGATAGCAAATTTAGATATATTGAACGTGGAGCTTAAATGATATTTATTTTTTTCGCATCTATGAGCAGTGGGTGTACATCTACATGCCATTTATGCTATTTTACATGTCCTGTTTTTTTACCTGAAACATGTAGAGGCTCGCACTGCTACGGTTGGTTCCGTTAAGCAGGACGAGAAGTCATGTTCAGGTAGGTTGACGCATTAAGATCAACATATAATGCCATCAACACAGTACTTACAAAGTGGAGCAGTAAAACAATGGGAGTGATACTAATTGCACATCAGGAAGGTTTGACAGAGCAGTAAAATTGAGTGACATTTCAAGAATCAAGCCCTATGCATGGAAATTTGTTCTTGCTCCCTTTGTCACTCTGGCTGGCTGTACATGCAAGATGCATGTTTTTGGGAAAAACAGTAATGTTCTAAGAATATTTTACACACAAACAATCGTTAGTAAATAAAAACATTTTGGTCAAAAAGTAAATAAAAACATTCAAATATGCACCTCTGTATTATACAAAAACAATATTTAGTTAATATCGACATTGAAAATGTTTTTTAAATAAATATGTTTAATGCATCCAAAAAATATATACACTCGCGGCTTATATTTAAATTATGCAAAATGATGAATTCAAACACTTACTAAATATTTATGAATATTCACTTGATTACAATTTTTACTCATGACTTATATTCAAAAAATTATATAATTTAAATATTAGACATGATTGAATATTCATGTCAACAGTTTACATTTTAAATTATGAATATTTTAAATTATAAAAATATAGAACTATACAAATGTGAGAATAGCTACTGAAATGTTTGTATAATTAAAATAATATTTTTACTTGTAATTTTGGAAATATTTATGTTCTTTTAAATGTACAAACATTTTTATAATACATAAATATTATTTAAATATATTAATATTTTAAAATAATACATGAATTTTTTAGAAGTAAGTTATTTTGTGTATGTACAATATTTATAACACATGAATATTTAGATGTTATTTTTGTTACTGAAATTATAATTTACATAGTGTCTACAAATTTTTAGGATACTAGGAAACATGCCAGTGCGGTGCAAGGGGAGAAAAAAATATAGCACGTACCCCTTACTTGATAAGCACGCGTATCACTGCTTACCCTCCTTCCAATATATTTCTTGTAATGAGTAACAACTACTTGACAAATGACAGGAGATAGAAAACAAAGGAGCCGCCTCATGACCTTCTCCCTCGCCTCCGTGTTGCGATGGGGAGGGAAACCCGAAATCGCATTATGAGTGAGGATGGAACAACAATCACCTACTGGCTAGTATTTCCTGTGATTAAAGAACACCACATAAAAACATTGAATGGGATCTTTGGATTCTTGTATCAATCAAAAAGTCACATTCTATGTTTCACCTTGGTCTTCAAAGAATGAGCCAATGAGTCTGGAATATTCAGCTACCAACATATAGGTATATCAATATTTGTCATGCACCTTAAGAAAATTGCAATTCTTGATGTAAAACATTTGTTACATCAGTTTCCTTTTAGATTCATTTGTGCTAGACATTATGGAAAATATCATATGCATCTACACCATTTATTGCTTCATCTATAATTCAACAGAGAACATGGCAGGGAGACAAAACATAAATAAAGAAAAATGAGAGACCTAAATAACCATGATGCCGCATCCAAAAGGAAAGTAGTAACCTATACAGAAGGCCTCTTCAATAGTAATAGTACTCCAATAATTACGTGTGGATGTATATTGCCGGTATGTACTGTGTATATCAATTAGACTGATTAGCCTATGCAACGTCGTGTATAAAATTATTTCCAAACATCTGGTAAATAGAGTTTGGCCGCTCTTGACGGGTCTTATTTGGGAAAACCAAAGTATTTATACTTATACGTTTAATCTTTGGTAACTCTATCACAACTTTTGAGTCTGTCCATCATATACAGTGTTTGAGGAATGATGCCCCGGCACTGTGTGTGTACAAACTGGATCGCTCAAAAGCCAATGATCATTTTGAGTGGGCCTTGCTTAAATGGAGCTTTTCTCAGGCATGGATGTCTATAAACTTCAGTTGGAAAAATCTTGAACCTTTCACTCCTTCATGTGGGTCTACGCCAAGGTGATCCATTATCTCGTTTTTTATTCTTTTTTGTTGTTGATGCTTTGTCTACGCTGATCAACAAAACTATGGTGGAGGATGGTCTTCAAGGAGTCGGTATCTGTAGAAGAGCACCGTTATTTTGCATCTCTTTTTACAAATGATTCTTTGTTATTTTTCCACGCTTCTGAGTAGAAGGTGGTGTTGGTAAAGGGCTTGCTGAACACTTATGCTTCATCGACGGGTCAGCTCATAAACCCTTCCAAGTGCTCCATCATTTTCTCTGATAATTCTCTGCTAGCGGTATCTGAGGAAGTAAAAAAATATTTGAGGTGATGGAGCAATTTTTGAGCCCAAGTATTTGGGGCTTCCTTTCCCAGAGGGGAGAAGGCGTAAGGGGATATTTGAAACGGTACAAGCAACATTAAGTAGAAGACTTGTTGACTAGATTAACAAATACATGTCTTCAGGAAGCAAAGAGCGGTTAATTAAAGTAGCGGCTCAAGCCATCCCCACATATGCGATGAGCGTTACTCGTCCTGACGGCGTCGGTTTGTGATGATCTCACAAGGCTTATGTGACAGTATTGGCGGGGAGCGAGAAAATGAAAATGTAAGATGGCATGCTTGAGTTGGAACAAGATGGTGCTTCCTTAGGGTAAAGGTGGAATGGGTTTCCATGACATGAGAGTTTTTAACTAAGCTCTTCTCGCAAAGCAGGTATGGCAGTTACTTGATACCCCTGACAGTTTATCTACCCGCTTGCTATGTGCAAAATATTATCCCAATGGTAATCATATCCACGACCCGATTCCAGGGAGGCTTTATATATTGACCTTAACATGGGTTGGTTTGGATCGTTCGACATATGGACAATTGGTTACAGAGATTAATTAGATCATTGATGTCCAATAGGGAAGTTTATTCGGCTTAAGATCCAACAGGAAGAGAATGAAGTGGTAGGTCGTGTGGCAAACTATAGTCACACAACCCATGTCCCTCATATATTGAGGAACTTTTGCCTCTCGATTGTAATTATGTACTTGATAAACATAACTCGTTATTGCCCTGGGGAAGAAAAAAAAAAGGTGCACTTGCATCCTCCCCCAGCGGCCATCACGTCGGCTTGTACAAATCGCTAGGTGTAGGTGTAGCCCGGCCGTGCATATTTGATTGATTGTGCGACTAATTGGCACCAGGACGGAATTGATCTGATTAGCAAAGGCCCTATATCACGCTACTAGCAGAGTTGGATAGTTAGGAGGACAATGATATCTTTTGCTCATCAAGGTTCAAGTTCTGGATTTGACATTGATTCTCGCATTATTTCTGGATTTAGCGATGTTTGTTCAATGGAAGGAAACGTTTCCGTTAATTACTAGTGCCGACTCAGTCTCTCAAAGGTGTTCATAGGGATAGTGTGAGCGTATGCTCGTGTGTGTGAGTGATTTTGATTGTACCGTGTTAGAAAAAGCAGAGTAGAGTACAAGCTACACAGTACAAATTAATGAGAATGAATGAAGTCTAGGCCAGACCATTGGAATAATCCAATTTTTGTTGTGGTTGCAGCCGTCCCCCGAAAGATGATAGGCGAGAGAGGGGAGGATCTGGCCAGGGTGCGCCATGTAATCGGTAGTTACTAGAGTCGTGCGAAATACACTTTGGTTCCTGGTTGTATATACACTGTATATGAAAATTATTTTTAATAATTAAACAAAACATAAAAATAATTAAGAACTACTTTTAGAATAAACTTGACTTACTTGCCACTAGTATATAAATTTTCACAAAAAAAAAACAACATTGACTTGACAGCGAAAAAGACAAAATTTATTTGCTATTATAGGTCGCTATTCATGCTATTTTGACAAAAAAATGTCTTTTTTAAAGCAAGTCAAAGAGTAATTTTCTTTTCATGGAACTTTTCTCACGAGTGCAATGGAAGATCAAGTTTATTTTAAAAATATTTTCAGAAATTTTTGAGTTTTTGTTGAATTACTAAAAAAATTTATATAGAATACATATATACCTATAGACCAAACATCCGCGTCCCTAGAGTCACGCACTAGTTACAATCTTGGCTATATAACCCTCGCATGCCACCATCTCACTCACTCATCCACACAAGCAACGACGGAGCTATGTGGTGGGCTGGGGGCAGTGCCCCCCCCCCCCGGGCCCTAGCATCTCATACACCAGGGCGTCCGCCTCAACAACACCCTAGCGTTGAGTATGCAGAAGACACAAGCCTCAACGATTGCCTTGACTTCTTCATCCTAGCAGTCTTCAAGGTGGAAAGGTTTCCGTACATCCGCCAAGCCGTCGCAGACTGGCTCGGCAGCACCGGCTATCCGCAGATGGTCCCGGGGATCCTCCCACCACTCGCGGTGAACTGGGCCCGACTGAGCTGCGCACTGCCCTCGTCAGCCCAGCACGGGCACGCCGACAAAAGTTGGGAGGGGAACCTCAAAATACAAAAGTTGGCGACCAGTCCTCTGCGCGTCCAGCATTGGCGTCATCCCATTCCAGCGGAGTTTCGGGTCATGGAACGAGGGTGAGACCGTACGTTTCCTTTTCTGGCAAGGCGGTGCCAACGGGTGTGTGCCCGGGAGTATTAGGGCATGTACAATGGTGGCATCACTATACTGGTGCCCCATGCTCCACCTAGATAAAAGGTAACTGAAGCTACTGTTTAGTTCTACCTTCATCCAACGGAAGCAGTAGTAGTGTTCTCAGGTTTGGTAGCTTTTTCTCTGTACAAAAAGGTAGCAAGGTACTGTTGAGCTCAGCAATGGTGTTTTCCAACGCTTTCCCATTGGCTGCCTTGCACTTTTTTCACGGGAGAACCAGCCTCCTCTGCATGATCCCGTCTAGCGCTGCAAGCAGCATCTTTTTCTCAGGTTCAACTATCCAAGCCGACTTGGCAGCTGGGGCACCGGTCCATCCTGGAGCGTTGGCCTTGCCCTTAGCGAGCCAACGGGTGCTCCCTAGTCACGTCCAATAAACAATGTAACCGTCGTCTCAAAAAACTGAATGAAATTACTTTTTTAAAAATGAATAAAGTCGCGTGTTTTTGTTTAAAAAAACGCTTCAGGCTTAGGCGAGCAACGGGTGCCGTTGGATCCTGACGCGAGCTTCGATCTTGACCGTCCGTTAACTGAAGAGCGTAACACCTGTTTACCAACTGACGAAGGTGGCACCCGGAGGAACAGAGCGGCCTCGCCTGACACCTCCACCCGTCGTCGGCGCGCGCGTCTCCGGTGAACTTGTTGCCGGGCCGGGGACAGATGGCCGGTCTAGACCATTACCACGACGCGCGAACGGGCGGCGTCGATGTCTCTGGCCGGCCTCACGCCCGCGGCGGGCGGGTCGTTCAGAGAGACCGAGCAGAAGACGTGGATGGGGACCGAGCAGTACCTATGCCGATGTGGAGGTGGGTGGGTGGGGATGCAAGGACGACGACGGCGGGGAGAAGAAGGTGACGTGCTTTCTCGCCAGCTGTGGCACGGTAAGATTGTTTCTGCTAGTACTAGTATTTCCCTTCCTCCTTCCGTGTATGTATTCACACCTCCAAGGTGTATGACGAAATGCCCCTCCCCTCCATATGCTCTTCACTCTTCGGTGAAAAGGACTGGTCCGGATTGGAAATTTGGAACAGCGCTTCCTTCCACATAAAACTTGTAGATGGTTCACATACAACTTGTAGACCAGACTTGTTCAAGTCGCTAAATCATTCAAAGTTAGGCAGATTCTAGCTTGTCCTTATCCTTATAAACTAACTACTCCCTTTGGGGTCATGGGTTGGAATATGTGTCCCGATGTTGACAATGATAAACAACAGGTGGCTATAAAGACATCCATCAAGGTTGACAAGCACATGAAGAAGGAGTTCACCGATGAGGTTATAATCCAATCTGCAATGAGGCACAAGAACATTGTCATGCTCCTAGGCTGCTGCTTAGAGCTGGATGTTCCCATGTTGGTGTATGAGTTTGTAGCGAGAGGGAGTCTGTATGATGTTCTCTTCAAGTGCAGAGATAGGATTCTAGCGGGCACACGACTGAGGATTGCTATTGGGTCAGCCGAAGGCTTAACATACATGCATTCAGCAGGGGAGAGTACAATCCGTCATGGTGATGTTAAATCTGCCAATATCCTTCTGGACGAAAAGTTCACCCCAAAAGTTTCAGACTTTGGGACATCAAAGCTACTCGCAAGAGGAAAAGCCGAGATGACAGAACATGTCATTGGGGACATGAGCTACATAGATCCAGTATATATGGAGCAAGGGATCGTCACATAGAAGAGCGATGTCTACGGCTTCGGAGTTGTCCTCATAGAGCTTATCACAAGGAGGCCTGCAACATATGATGCTATGTTGCAAACTTTGTTGAAGCTTTGGTAGAAAAAAGAGCAAGAAGCTTTATTGACAATGATATTACAAGTGAGGCGGATATTAATCTCTTGGAAATGGTTGGCGGAGTCGCGGTGGATTGTCTAAAACCCAATCCAGAAGAACGACAAGACATGAAACGAGTAGAGCACCGCCTCCTCGAGATTCTTGCACAATCTGAAGATTATAGTCATGAGAGGAGCTTCCAGGGAGATCTTAGTCCGGCACCGGATGATGTTGCTTTGCTTAAAGCGTCGGGAGAATGAAGTATCTATCCTCTACCAATATTTTTACATTTTCCACTCAATTATGTAATGGTTTGATTGCATTGAGACATCAAGACATTAGACTATGTACCAATTTTATTCATGTGACATTTTCCTTGGTGACAGGAAATGTAGGATCTAATTGTTGTGGATTTATTATGAGGTATAAACAGACATGCCATCATGGTTGTGTGCATCACAATGATGCAGAGATCGGGGTCACCCCCTTTCCGACAAAAATAGACGCGACATCTCACCCTTGATTTTGTATGGGAAATTCCCTGGGCCTGAAGCTTAAGGATGTCTTGCTGAAGCTTAAGGATGTCTTGCCGAAGTGACGACCCCCCTAGCACAACGGAAGAACGGTGGTGCAAGATAGTAGGAGCAGCGAGAGGGGCAACGATAGCAACACAAGAGAGAGAGGACGCCCCGTCAAGGACTGAACTAAGACAAGGAGAGGAAGATAGAAGAGGAGACGTGCCTAACACTCTAACAGCATACTATGGAGGAAGGAGAAAATGTCCATGTGTAAGAAACTAAGAACTGACAGTGCTGTTCCATGTGTAACAGGACAGTGCTATCTTACCTAAGACAAGAACTGACAGCGCTATCACACAGCATAGCCATCGTCATGTTCAGTTCCATTGTAGCTAACCTGACAGGCTGATGGATAAACTTACCAGTATTCTTTATACAACATACTACTACACTGAGGAAGCACAACAATCTTAGAGATAACTTCATGAGAAAGTAGTGGCTGCACGCAACTTTGGTGCACCCACAGAGTGAACTGTAAATTCGTAAAAAATAGAAAAAAAAATCTGAAACTTCGTGGATGTGATTATGAGCAAATGTTTTAGGAGCTTGCAAAGTTTGGTCAACAAAAACACCAGATGACCTCTATACAAAGCGAAATACAAATAATGCTCTGCACTCAAGTTACTGTTCACGTGTTTTCAGCATAAACTTTGTTTTTTCTTTTTTTTGTACAGAGCTCCTCAGATGTCATTTCGCCACCAAATTTTGCAAGCACCTAAACCATTTGATCATAATCGCATCCACAAAGTTTCAGATTTTTTAGAAATGTTTTGCTAAGTTTTTTATCGTGGGAGCATCGGGGATGCAACCATCAATGGCTCAACCATCCAAGCCATCACCGGCGCCGTGGCGATGCCCTAGACCTCCCGGGCTTCTCTGCAGATTTGGTCGAGCATAGCAACGAACTCCCTAACGCCCGTGAAGACCCTGAACAAGCGAGCCTCGTCGTTGCCTGCCTCGTCACCGCCGTACGGCATAGGACAATCTCAGCTGATTGACCTCCAGATAGAAATTAGAGACATAGCTCATAGCATCCACTCTCTTGAATGCAAATGCTACGTCCAGTATTGTCATCACAAAGCATCGACGGCGCAAAGCTTGGTAGATGGGTCATCCTTGAGATATCTGAGCATTAGCTCTTCCTCATTGGTGAGAACCAACTGAGCGAGCATCCGCAGGGCTTCTACTCCTAACCATGTGCATTGCCTGTACCAGGAAACAAAAACAACTAGAGTTAATAACAAGGACGCATCATGGAAGAATGGAGAAAACGGTAATTAATTAATTGCAATACCAATTAGATAGATGTAATGCAAAATATAGAGCCCCTTGAATGGAAAGTTTGCTGTAAACCAAAAAATGTGGAAATTTCCATGGAGAATTTGAAACACGGTCACCAATAAAACATGATAGCTCTAGAAAGATTGTCCAGTACTATATGCAGAGGATGCAAAGGCTTTGCAAGCTTTTATATACTAAAGAAAACGTTGCTTAATGTGAAATAGTGAGACATATACATAACTTCATGTTGCTAATGTCTCATAAAGAGGTGCTTGATGGTAAGGTAACGCAAGCAGGGATCTTCATATCAAGTAGTTGATGAACACAAATGAAGCATAGCATGTCCCAGTCCAGCGACAAGGCACAGATGAATTTGTGTGGCAACAACCAACAGGTTGATCGACCTCAGAACATGGATTTGGATGATTAAGCAGGGATCTTCCCACAGCATGTGGGCACTCAGATCACTTGTTCTGAGATAAGAAGATGCTTGGTTCAGATTAATGTCTGAACCCAACATCTATATACAGGACCACTTTATCTTTTCTTAAACCATTTTAAGTTACTTGTCAACGTGAAAACATCAGCATCAGCCTAACTAAGTGCAGGCTAATTCACCATACCCTGATAACACCGGAAAAGACGTGCTTGCAAAAAGATATCATCATATCAAGTATTTGATAGACATATATAGCACGACATGAAGCTGTGTGGCGACGACCCACGGGTTGATCCACCCTGCTATCGACGACATGTGTGTCATGTGATTAGCACATGACTGGTTCATAACAAAATCAGATTCCATGTCCATAATAAGGTTTCTCTTTTTTCTTCTGATAGCAGCATATGCATTTAACTGAAAGAATGCTATGCAACTTTCTACTTAATAATGCACCTTGTACTGCAGCAAATGTGACCACTAGCACATTCAGTTCCATGTTTATTCTGATATTAGGCCCAGACTATCAGCATCCCTTCATCAACTGGATAGGAGTAGCGACAGATGTTGCCTAGATGGTGGCTTTAGTCTTACTGTTGTATGACTTTGTAAGGTCTTGTGTGAATAATTAATAAAGTGGTTGTATGCATCGTCCAAATGCAGAGGCCGGGGGTCCTCCTCCATTTCTAAAAAAAATGTTCATTCTGATAATAGAATATGCACTGAACTGAAAGAATGTTATGCAATCTTTTCTCTGTTAGCACGGTATAAGTGGATAAGGCAAACACCACAAGCTCATCATTGATAATGCACCATGTACTTCTGCAGCAAAAAAAATATTTGAGGCGACGCAACAGATTTTTTTAGCCCAAGTGTCTGGGGCTTTCTGTCCGGGGGGAGAAGGCATAAAGAGATATTTAAAATGGTGCAAGCATCATTAAGTAGAAGACTTGTTGACTGGAGTGGGAAATACATGTACTCAGGCAACAAAGAGCGGTTAATTAAAAGTGTAGAAGTGCATGCTCTAGCCAATGCAACCAAAAGACCGATCTGATGGAAGAGACTAGGCAGCACATTATACGTCAACACTCCCCCTCACGTGTGGCTTCCTCGGGCCTAAACGTGGGCCGAAAGTGGGCTGCAATTTAATTGCGATAGCCGGGTCTTACACTCAAAATCTATTGGCTCTGATACCATGTAGAAGTGCATGTTCTAGCAATGCAAACAAAAGACCAATCTGATGAAAGAGACTAGGCAGCACATTATACGTCAACAAAAGGCAGTGGCTAAAGCCATCCCCATATATGCGATGAGCGTTACTCATCTTGCCGGCGTCGGTTGAGTTGGAACAAGATGGTGCTTCCTTAGGGTAAAGGTGGTATGGGTTAACACGACATGACAGCTTTTAACCAAGCTCTTCCCACAAAGCAGGCATGGCAGTTACTTGATACCCCTGAAAATTTATGTGCCCGTTTGCTATGGGAAAAATATTATCTCAATGATAATCATATATTGATACAGCCCGATTCCAGGGAGGCTTTATATATTGACCTTAACATGGGCTGGTTTGGATCATTCGGCATATGAACAATTGGTTACAAAGGTTAATTAGATCATTGATGTCCAATAGGGAAGTTTATTTGGTTTAAGATCCGACGGAAGCAAAATAAAGTGACAAATCGTTTGGCAAACTATAGTCGCACATCCCATGTCCCATGTATTAAGGATCTTGTACCTCTCGACTGTAATTTTATACTTGATGAATAGAACTCATTATTGCCCCGGGGAAGAAAAAAAATGTGCACCTGGATCCTCCCCCAGCGGCCATCACCACGTCGGCTTGCACAGCGCACATGCACAAATCGTCGCGCGGCCTAGCTAGGTGTAGCCGGCCGTGTGCGTCCACTTACGCCTCATGCAGCTCTTGATTGATCGTGCGAGTCGGCACGGTCAAGACCAGCACGGAGGAGTGAGCAAGTTGGCAAGTAGATCAAACGATCCGATTAGAAAGAGGGCCGTCTATCATGCTACCTAGGTGGCACTTACTAACCAAACAGAGATTCTAAAAAAAAAAACCAAACAGAGTAGAGTGTGCTAGCTAGTACGTACTGGTACAAATTGATGAGAATCAGCTCCATTTGTGGTGGAGTGAATGCAGTCTAGGCCAGACCATTGGAATAATCCAACTTTTGCTGCGGTTAGAGGGTAGACGAGGGAGAGGGGGGATCTAGGCTACTAGACTCACAAGCACCCCAGACCATTGCAATAATGCAACTCATGTTGCGGTTGCAACAGTCTCGCGAAGGAGGGCAGGCCAGAGAGAGTGATCTGGGGTGCGCCATGTGGCCGGTAGTTACTAGAGTCACATATTAGTTCCAATCTTGGCTATATAAACGCCCCATGGCACCATCACTCACTTATCAACA